TCTCTCTCTCTCTCTCTCTCTCTCTCTCTCTCTCTCTCTCTCTCTCTCTCTCTCTCTCTCTCTCTCCACAAACCTATCGCATGAACTTCCGCAATTCGTGCACGTGACGGGCCACCACTCAGCGTCGCCACGCAACAGAACCCGCTCGTGTCGGGAGAACTCTCTCCACAACCCCTGCACGTGACGAGCTTATATCGCACATGACGATACCTGTCGTGACGGAAAAAAAAAGAAGGTGAAATAAAAGCAATAAAAAAGCAACGCCACGAACAAACGCAACAACCGGGAGTGACACGACGGAAGTTGCACGTTGGACACTGCGCCGCGGTTGAAGTAGAAGATCGGAACGCCGTCGTGTCACTTCTCGCACATCCACCAAGTGTGCAGCTGGCGGTTCGCTTAACTGAACTCCATCCGGTCGACACTGACAATGTGTTTGCACCAAATTCCCCGGACTCGTGAGATGTGACAGCCATCACAACCCCCCCGCCGCCCCACCAACCCTAGAATGAAACCCCCTCAACCCAACCATTCCACCCCCCTCGTGCACCATTACCCAAATAACCGCAGTGAAGGCCACACTTAATCCTTGCAAAGAGTTTGCGCTATTTTCAACAGCGTGTCACACAGCATCCGCTGTCCGGAATCCCAGAACTGGCACCGTGTATCCTGCACTCTCACCTCCCTCTCCATAATGTCGCATTGTCGCCGCAGCACATCGCACTGCCTTTTGCTCGCCCTGTCCACAGAATCGACGACGACTTTCGAGTGGGACTGCATGACGTCCGTCACAGCTTCAAACGCATTCTGCCGCGCGCTCTTCCTCTTCGCCATCTTCCCACCCACGGTTCCTCCGGCATGTCCGCCGGCATGTCTACCGCCATCCCCGCCATCGCCTTCTCAGTTGTCACTTGCGGAAGTTTCCCCGCCTCCGACCCCCCCACCCCCTTGTTGCTGTGACATCCCACTGTCGACGAGATTCGGAGGATTGGCCGTTTGGCTTTTGCTCTGCATTGCAGTGATCGCTTGATACAACCGCCGGTCCATCTGGAACTTGTATCCTTTGTCAGCCTGTTGTTTAGGAGTGAGTGTAAAAAAGACTGCATATCCGAATCCTTCTCCCTATCGAAAACTTTCCTGTACCACCCAATCACATTTTCCCAACGCTTCATGCACGCATCCCACTCCTTCACCACCCCTTGTGCGGATATTTTTTGGCGATGTCCGTCCACTTCCATTCCTTGTTTTTCATTCAATCAGACCCTGCGGCTGCCATCGCCTCTTCGTAATCCCTTTTGCACTGCACCAGGACAAGGGACTCGTCCAGACTCCAATAGGTGCGGCCGACACTTGTCCCGCCTCCTTCATCCGCACCGACCACCCTCGCGTTTCCCTTTCCTCTACCCCTCCCGACCCCAGTTCGTGCTCCACCTCCTGTGTTTCGAGCACCGAGTTGCAACGACGGCTCGTCCTCTGTGTCGCCTTCCACGTCATCCATGTCATCTCCATCGGCCGCACCATCTCCGTAGTCCTCACCTTCTGCTTCACGCTCCCCATCACTCGTTGCCCGCATCGACGAAACTCGAGCAATGATTCTCTCCACACAGCGCATCATTGATGGCAAGCTTGCTGATCGCCCGGTCCGTTGCACCCCCGCAGCCGCACCCGATGGACCCCCAACCGCTGGACTGAACTCCGACTGCTGGCCACAGCCGCCTCTGTTCGCAGTCATAGACGGTCCTGCATGGCTCGCATGACTGCGACTGCCGCGACCTCCCTGCACACCGACCGATGGGTCACCGGTGGATTGGCTGGGATGATCGACGAGAACAGTGTGCGTGACTGCTCTCTGGCCCCCGGAGGATAATTGAAGATCCAACGGCGGGCACATCCCATGTCGGCCGTCAGAATACAGGAGCAATTCCATCGTTCCTTCGCTGGCAGCACCCCGCATCACTGTCACTGTCTGTCAGTGCACCCTCCGACATTGTCTGCTTGGATCCATACGCGAATGGCAATGTGGCAGAGGGGGGCGCCCAAGTGTCACCATCAGGCAGCGGCTGCTGATGGGGCGGCAGATGGACGTAAAGACTGGGGTCGAACCGGGGTGGGGCTTCGTTCCCATCACTGAACATCGGCCCTGCTCCCATGCCGTATGTGTACCTCTCATGGCCGTTCGCACCTGCCATGATTGCTGCCAGCTTCCTATGTGATGTCGTGTTCGGCAACCTCCGTTTTTTGTCCTCGCACGGCCGTGCAGCAAACCAGACAGGTGCAAGAGGACAATGACCACAAGGACCAGCAAGACGACACACAAAACGACAATCTTCCCGAGACGGTCTGCCATGAAACGGGACGTCACGGACACGATGGCAACCTACGAAGATGCCAAATGTGCTCTGAAGGCGACGAAGACCATGGCATTGGTGCACAACGCCATACATTACCACACGCCTGTCGCGCATGTGAAGGACGACATCACACCCACAGGCAAACGCAGGGAATGGTGTCCACCACCATCGTTCAAATTTGAACTGGCCCGGCCAGACACCCCCCCGCCCCCCAACTCACCCTCCACCCCCGCTGCACGCCAGCCCACTGCCCGCCTCCGACCGTCAGTCCGCTCAACACGACATCACACGCACAGGCAAACGGAGGGAATGAAGTCCACCACCACCGCTCAAATTTGAACTGCCCCGGCCAGACACCCTCCCGCCCCCCAACCCACCCTCCACCCCCGCTGCACGCCAGCCCACTGCCCGCCTCCAACCGTCGGTCCGCTCAACGGCCATTTCTCTCCCCCCCACCCCCAGCACAAGCCACACTCCAACGCGGATGATACCACTGCCAACGAGCCATTGAGAGGCCTGCCGGACGGCTGGACCAACCGGTAGACCTGGAACGGTCCACAAAAAAAATAATAATAATAATTGCCACCGATGTCGGAGCCGCCGTCCCCTCACACTTGAACCCAAGGCTTCCGGAGAGGTATCTTGAGCTCAAGTGCGAATTTGCCCAGGGGCACTCGAGTTTCAAGGGCTAGCACTAGAGAGCATGAAAGTAGAAAAAACTTCACCGCCAGGTTAGGGTGGGGTTGAACGAAGAATTTTCCTTCAACCCTTGAGTTCAAGTGGTGTGGAAAGAGACCCTTAGTCCAAGTGATAGTCCAAGTGATCTAGCCGTTGGTTTCTTTCGAATATTACACCCCCTACCCTTGTGACTTTCCTCTGAGTTGGCTCTCCCCTTTTTTCGAGACAGCCCGCTCAACGACCCCCTTATTCCCCCAAAAGGCGTTTTTCTGGAGAAGCTGTACAAGCCTCCCTCCGTTTGCTATTTTCGTACGGGATTCTGGCGACTCACTCTTCATTTTCTGCTGTGTAAGTGCCCGTATGCCACTCCAATTGTGAAAAAAGAAAAAACAGAACAATTGTATTCCAAAATGTGAAAAAAAGAAAAACAGAACAATTGTATCCGTGCCATTTATAAATGCACTTCTGATTTTCAATCGAATTAAAATGAACATTTTCAGCTGTCACACCGTTGAGTTGCCTCAACTAAACGGTGCAAGTAGAAAAAAGCCGACCAAAAAGCATAGTAAAACAACTCTATCTTTGGGTGGAACAGTCGGCCATGCACTGTTTCTGCAACTTTTTCTGCTATTTGAGTATTCAACTAGCTGCTGTGGCTGTTTGGATACTCGAAAGCCGCAACAACCAGCTATGGCTGTTCCTCTCCCTCCTCCTCACCCCGTCAAATGCCTGTACCCCGAGCCCATCAATTATGAAAGACGACTCGGCACGTCTCCAAGAAAAGTGCACTCACAACATCTCCATGTTCCCTGCAGAGCTAAACGCCCGTCAAAATGAAAGATGACCCTCTATACGATGATCGTCCTCCCTCTCTGTACATCACTGCACTTTCAATCAAAGAAGTAAATCGGTCTCTGCATACGATACGTGGACAGAGAGAGAGCAACAAAGTCAGGAAAAAAGAGGGAAGAAGTTATGGTGCAGGCACACGCTCTGAAGATAAGACTCTGAGAGAGAACAGCGACGTGAGGATAGAAAAGAGAGAGAGTGTGCAGGCACAAGCTCTCCATAGCTTCGCAACTAAACATGCCCTGAAGAAGACTCCGAGAGAGAACAGCGAAGTGAGGAGAGAAAGGAGAAAGTGTGCAGGCACAAGCTCTCCATAGCTTCGCAACTAAACATGCCTGTCAATAAGAAAGTTCCGCCTGCACGTCGTGCGCGGCTTGTCCCTCTCTCCTGTTCATCTTCCGGCTGACCTTTGTCCCTTCCGTCCCTTTTACCGCAAACCCTCGTCCCTCCCTCTGTGTCCCTTTTTCCGCCCATTTTACTGGCCCGTCGTGGTAACTTACATCTCGCTCGATCTCCCATCATGATGTTGTTGTTACATATTTACAACTCCCGTGAAACCGTATGTCTGTCCATATTTCCCCGGACTCTTCCTCTCATCAAGCCCATCCAGTGAGTGATATGTCGCCGTGACTTACATCTTGCTTGCTAGATCTCAAGCGTCCCGAACTCCCATTTTGTTGTTACACACTTCAAGTTTCATCAAGCATGCTTAAGTTTACAGCGTGCTACATATTACAGTCCAGATGCAATGCCATCGAAAACGAAGAACATGAAATTAACGGACATCGAGTACGTTAGACAACCCAGAGTACAAAATAGAAACGTATCGATATTCTTACCGCCCCCACCTTCCCCCCCCCTCTGTTATATGAACCTCAGATCAGATGATATGAAAGTCGATACTTCCCAAACTCTTTTTTTTGGCCTTTCCCAATGTCAAATGGATCAGATATATGAATGAAACTGCTCTAAGAAAGAAGCAGGCCGTGAGTTCAGTCGTGAAAAGGACGGTGGCCACTTCTTCTTCTTCTCCCCTCGACTTCTTCCGGAATCCGTCCATCGCCTCCACAGTTGCCCTACACGTAGATCTCTGCGCTTCATGACATATCATTCTGCCCACACGCAGCTCTCTGCACTTGATCAGATACAATTCTGCCCACACGTATCGCACGACTAGGGCGTTGGGGCCACAAGGAATGCCGCCGCACATGCCGCCATGCACACAGCTTGCTGCGAGTTGCAAGCTATGACCACCGCTGGAGCTGCCGCCCCTCCCGTCATTGTGCCAGCCACCAGCCCTGCTGTGCTGTAGCAGAGCACCCAGGCCGTGTTGCAGGCGCTCTGACAAGCCGGATACCCGGCGAGGACGTGAGCCTGTCTGGGACCTGCGGACGTCAACAGCAATGAGATGACAAGGAAGTAGAGGGCCGTAGAGGCCATGATGTCACAAGCGAGACGTCCTGACGATCGCCAAGCCATGGTCGTTCCAGACACGTTGCCGGCTGCGAACTCTCCACAGCAGAATGAGCAGATAGGTGCAGAGGGAGAAAGGAAGACAGCAACACAAGGAGAAAGGAAGCGGAGACTGCCGGCTTGCAGTCTTCAGATCGAATCGTCCCTCCTTTTCATTTCCACCGGGCGACTCTTCTCCTCAATAACACCACCTCACGCTGCTTAGGTGCCGGCCACTTTCAGAGAGAATGGTTGTGACATCGCCAATTTTATCTATTCGTGGGGAGCAACACGTGCTGCTGGGAACAGGGCCCGGCGTCCCATATGAAAACATATGTGGAACAGTTTGAGACCGGGGCGTCCCATATGAAACCATATGTCGAACAGTTTGAGACCGGGGCCATTACCCAGCTTAGGCTAAGAATACCTTGAACAATCCTACTACGAAATCCACAACATAATTTTTGTTTTTTTTTTTCTTTACAATTCAGAGTCATTGTAAAATTTGAAACGAGGGAATACCCAGCTGTGACATGTTGGGGGGCGCCGGGGTTGGGCGGCTGCGCTATTCTAGCGCTAATTTTTCTAGCGCTAATTTTTGGGTCGCTCCGAACCGGTGCCGGTCCAGGCCGACGTCTGGTGGAGTCGGCCGTAGGCCCTGCCTTGCCGTACCACCCCGTCATCGCCGACGGGGAACGGTGAAGCTCCATACTCTCTCGTCGAGAGTACCGACTATGTCGGACTGTCTCCTCTCAAGGTAGCCCGGGAGTAGGTCGGTAGATGGCAACTAATTAGTGAGATGTTCAGAGAGGCGGTGATGCCCAATGGTCCGATGAAGGGAATCCTTGAAGATGCACCATGCGCCCAAGTAGACTGAAGTTTAGGGTGACGACATTGATGCAAAAGAAGTCCAAGTGAAGCAAGCCGTAGTGGAAGCGGATCGGGAGTGGTTCTTGAGAAATCTCCGACGCTTCTTTCAATGGCTACCATATTACCTGGATGTCACCCGCCAATGGGAGATGCTTTTAACCTGCTTGTTCACCGCGCGGTGCAAGATTCGTGGTAAAAATTCGGGAAGTATTGACACCTGCCAGACCTCAAGGACGGATAGAGCGAGTTAGAGTGGCGATTGGATTAAAGAAGTACGACGGTAGCCCCGACGCTAGCAGAGCAGGGATTGGTCGTGGAAATACACGCTCTCCATTCGAGACGTTGACAACAACAAGACCGGAGCAGCCTCCTTCCCGGAGTTCTCAATTATCTGCACACGAGGGGATAAACGAATTTAGTGGGAAAGCGGTGACGAATTTAGCGAAGAGCTTTCGGAAGATGGGATAAGTGGGAATATCCGGGAGATATGTACACATCCGACGGAGTGGAAAGGTAAACGCAGAAAGGTGACTGTATGAGGGAAGGGACTTAAGAGGGGGATACATCTTCGATAGAGTGGGAATTTTGGGGGGAAGAGGTAAGGAGAAGTGGATCGAGAGTGCAGAAAGGAAGGATCTAGGGCTAGAGAGTTCGTGTATTCGTCCAGACAGAAAGGATTTTAGTTTGCTCTACGCTGCAGTACTTGAAAGAGAAGGTGCAGGAAGGGGGGAGTATTAGATATGCAAGGAGAGGAGGCGGGAGGGGAGGCAGGAGGTAGAGGGTTACCCCCCCCTCTTGCCCCCCCAACCAACTTTTGGGTGATGGAGGAACGCACGAGGCAGGCTATTGGTCAGTGCTACGACGAGGGAATAGTACAGCTAGCAGCCGATCTGGGAGAGGTGGTAATTGATGAGCGAGGGAAGCGGTTCAAAGTCAACGAGTCCTACGATGCCATCAAAGAGAGATGGTTGAAGGAAAGGACTGTTATATTCATTTTTCGGGATGAACCGCGAGATCTGACGAGGAGTGTAAAGGAAGATCTCATCAGATCTTACGAGGATGGATGGATGGCGAGAAGACTCTTCAACCCTGAAATACGGCGAGGAAGAATTACCTTCGAGAGTCGGAATGTGGTCTCTTATGTCGCCAAAGCGGTGGAGGTAGCAACCAGGCTGGTCCAAAAACGCTCCCTAAAGCTGACACTAAGGGGGATCGAGTATCCGGTAATGGTCAAACCGTGGATGACAAAAGGGGAACTAAAGGACTTGAGGCTGCGGGAGGCAGAAACGAATTTCTGGATTATAGCTTTGAGGGTTCCGTAGGATGCAATGTGTTATGTTTCGTCTGCTGCGGAAGAGCTGTTTGGTGGCGTCAAAGCAATGCATCCTCCAGAAGCAGACGGAACAAAGCCAAAATTGATGAACATCAAGCTGGACATGGACCCCCAGGCACGCTTCATAGTAGACGACACATTGACCATAGAGTCGCCGAAAGGAGAGGTATGGACGGTGGAGATAGCCACTCCCTACTCAGAGTAGTGCCGAAAGTGTCGTTGGTACTTCCATTCTGAAGACAACTGCCCCCGACAAGAGGGAGCCGGTCAATGCAGGGGGTGGGTAAACTCTAGGCTACCTCGTCAACATCCACAGCAGCAACAACAACAGCAACATCAACAACAGCAACAACAACAACAGCAACAGCGACAACAGAACCAGCAGCAGCCACATGGTCAACAACAGAGGGAAGGAAGTCGGCCACAGCAGAACGTCCCGCAAGCAGCAAGTGAGCCAGGCAGACCTGCTCAGCAGCCGCCCCAGACTCATGCGGCCCCCCAACCGGAAGTTTTGAGACAAGGGCAGGGTGAGATCCAGCAGCAAGTTAGAAGCCACTCGCAACCCCATTCGCAACCCCAATCTAGTCAAGGTTTTCCCTGCCAGAATCCATACTGTGTAACCTGTATCCAGGGAGAGGCTCAGGGTAACACCCTATTTCGGGGCCCCTGGGGCCCAGAGCTGATAGGCATACACTAGTTCTCCCCCCCCCCCCCGGCACATCCCATTCCTCCCTTGCAAGCTCAGTTAGTTCCATGGTCCCCCCCCCCACCGTGGTCCGGCCACCCTTACCCGAACCCCCCCCCTCAACCACTCGGCCCTTTACAGTCATACTACCTTCCCCCAGCCACATTACCAAGGCACACGGGAGATCTCCCCCCCGTTTACCATGACCCAGTGGTCAGATCGATCCCAATCAGAGCTTACAGCGGGCTTGTTACTGGTTGGGAGAATGGAGGGGAGACAACCCTGATTCATCATAGGCGCCAGTTGGGGGAAGGAATGAGGCCTGCTCTGCTGACAGACCAGGGCCAGGGAAGGAGCGGGGGACCAAGCTCGGGCCAAGGAGGACAGAGTCGGGGGGGGCAGTGGAACCCCCCTAGGCCAGAGGAGGGTGCGGTAGGAGGTTGGGGAACAGAACGGTCAACAAGGACGTCTTCTTCACAGTCAAGAGTGCTCATGGGCAGTAGATTGATTGGTGACGATCCGGCCTTCGAAGGGGAAGGGTTCCTACGGGCAGAGGGGTCAGAGTCATCTACGGGTAGTTCTGGGGGTTCGCTCAGAAGAAGGGAGGCGGAGTCAGACACGACCAGGAAGAAGGAATACAGAAGCAGAGAGCAAACCAGACTGCCCATAGATAGAAGAATAGTGCCCCTGGTTTGTGCAAAGACAAGGGACGCAACACAATTCCTAGGGATGGTGCAGTCAGATGGCGGGCTAACCTCCTCTCAGTCTCCACTGATAGGTCACCGCTAATTACAAGGGCAAAGTTCCTGTTTGGAGATGCGTTTCCGATGAGAATCATCCCCAGGTCAGTGATGGCAAGTTGCAGCGTCCCGCTCGATACAAAACTGGCAAAGTTCTATTTTCCTCTAGATGTCAGGATAGACCATCCTACGGCAGATGCATTAACGCAGGCAGGAGTTAAGTGGTTTAACTTGGACGCAGTGAGGGGAACCAAATAGTCATGAGTTGGAGGCTATAGCGCTGTCACAGAATGTCTCAACTCTGTTGCTTCTGCACCTGAATGAGAAGCTGTCGGAGGAAAAGAATTTGCATTTGAACTTCATGAGGAACGCTCTGAAGGACAACTGGCGCTTTTTTTCCCAATCAGAGAGGTCGAGAGGGAGTTGGAGAGCTAGCCCGATGCAACGCGCCCCTGCGCAGGGGGTAGTGAGATGGGGAGATGAACAGGAGGAACAAGTCGAGGCCCGCATCCAAGCACAAGCGGAGGAAAGTAATGCTAATGGTTAAGCTGAAGCTCGTGACTTGGAACATGCGGGGCTTGGGGGATACAACAAACAGAGATAAGAGAAGAAGGTTGAAGTAAGAAGATTGACTGCGCCTGCATCCAAGAGACTAAGTTGGGGGAAGAGAAGTTGAGAGGGTTAGGAAACTGGTGGGAGGGCCCATAGTTTTGGTCCCCAACACAGGGAACGAGAGGGGGAGTGGCAATCCTGCTGCACCGGAACTTCCAGGCAGATATACTAGATGCTGAGACCGACCTGTGGGGACATTGGACCTGGGTGAAGTTGCGGACTAACCAATTGGAATGGGTGATCATGGCAATATATGCACCAGCAAGTCCTACACCGAGAGCAGAGTTTTTCGCCACCATCAACTCCATTATCCCGGCCACGAATAATTTGGTGTTGCTGGGGGACTGGAATGTTTCCCTTGATGAGGCTCTCAGCGGGAACCCAAGGATACCAGGCAGGAGGGATGCAACGACCCTATTGGAGTTAGTCCAGAACCACGACCTCACAGATCCATTTCGGTCCCTAAATCGTGAGGACCCGGGACTGACTTGGTACTCCAATATCAGGAAGGAAAGGGGAGAAGTGACGAGGAGAAGGCTGGACTTCTGCTTGGCGGGAAAGGGTCTACTACAAGGGGTAACACAGGTCAGGCACACGACGCATCCGATGTCGGACCACAAGCAAGTGGTAGTGGACCTGCTGTTGAACCAGGTGGAAGGCAGAGGCAGAGGATACTTCAAACGGAACTCCGAGAACTTGGAAGATTTAGGTTTGAAGGACTAGGCACGAGAATACATGGAATCTTGGCATTTAGCAAAGCCTTATTTTTCCTCGACAGCGGACTGGTTAGATGGGGGCCTCGCTACTATTTCAGGGGTTATAGACGTTTGCTCACGCATATTAGCAAGAGAAAGGAATCAGGAGGAAGAAAGATGCCAAAAGAGGGTTGAAGAGGCGGAGAGGAGGATGAAGATGCACCCGATTTTGAAACTTGTGTGGGCAGC